AAAAGAGAATAAAAGATAAGAAGTTGAGGCTTTTTCTTTTCCCTCAACCTCACCTCTCCTACCTCTTTATTCAGCATGTTTTCCGGGTTTTTTTCCTCTCTAGCTGTGTCTATAGTAGTTTCTAACACAAAATGATTATCAGAAAGAAAAAAATAGTCTTAGTGATCCTTCAGTACTTTGCACAAAGATGATTGGATTCTGGCAGCTATGTAACAAAGTAGGGAAAAATATATTGATTTCATTGGGTCCTAAGTCAGGAATTAATAGGATAAATTTTAATCTCTTAGAGCTGGATACTGCACAGAAGGGGGACCCCTTGCTTTTTTATGTTTTAAACTGCAATGTTTTCTACTTTTTAAAACTAAGAGTTGACACAGATTTGCATAAATAATAGATGTTTGACTGAGATTCAGGAACTGAAAGCTTGAGAATACATGTGTATTTGTTTTGTATACAAGAACTTTGCAGCTGAAATAATTGGATCCTTCAGAAGTGTTTGCTTTGTCTAATCATTTTTTGCTACTTAATAGTTTTCCAAGTGTCTAACATTACTAATAGGAGGAACTATTTCTCGTGAGTTCTTTTGACACAGGCTAGAAAATTACATAAAGCCTTTAACTACCACTCAGACCTCAAAATTTCAGACTTACAGCTTACCTGCAGCTGAAAAGACTATATTTTTCCCCTTGGAAACATGAACGATGGTCCGTTCTCCTTTAGCATAAGTAGTTCACATGTTTGCCCCAAAACAGGTCCATCAGTTTGTCTTTTTTGCACCCTGATGTTGGCATCTTAAGTCTTCCAGGAAGTTTCAAGAGGATGTTACAATACTTTAAGAACCGCTAGCAAAAAGTACACTCTTGCCTCCAAAGAGTCTGAAACCAATCCACTACTTAAAAATCTTCATACAGCTGTTGGAGCCTCCCTTGATAATGTTTTGGGGTCGCAACCCTTTCAATGAGAAAGCTTTTCTAGCATCTAGCTTCTATTCTTTGCCTGTAGTTTTCCCGTAAGTGTTCTTGTGCCACTTTCAGTAAACATAAAAATTGCTACTAACATCTAGTTTTTAAGATACAAATATGTTCTTTTTGGCCTATATGTGCTTTACTTAAAGAAAAATAAGGCAAAAGTCTGGCAAGATTAAGCTTACTTTCCTACCTGGCATCAGTTGCCTACCACCAGAGATCAGCTATTCTCTGAAGACTGTCTTCAGAGCTTTCTTTTCCCATTCAAACCACCCAGCCAGAGTGACTTCTTGTTTTGGTCATGCTGGGGTTCAGACTCAGCCCTTGAGCTTGTGGCACTACTAATTTGTGGTACCTGCTTGGACCAGGAGTCATCTCCTCCCTGTCCAGTCATTTGTAGTATTGGTGTTTTTAACCCTTTTCCAACCTTGTTTCTACACATGCTGTCTATCCTAAAAACAGGCCCAATTAATTTTGGTTTTCCTACTTAGATTATCTTACAAGTTTGGTTCTGATGCATCTGACCCACAATATAACTGACCCTTTTCCTCCAGCTGGTTTCATTTCTGAGGACCTACCCCAGTTACCATTGATTCCTCCAAATGAATGTACTTCATCCTCACACTTTTTAAACTTCACTTTGTTCTTAAACCATTGGAAGAAGCATACTGGAGTCTGGGGTGGATAGGCAGGTAATGTGTCCAGCAGTCCTCAGCCTGGCCACTCCTTTATTCTCAGGTTAGAGTAGCCACATTCTAGATAAACATGTTTTTTCCTGGTGGTTTCCAGTGACTCTGATTGAAAGAGGGTCACAGAAAGTTTAAAGATGCAGTACCAGTAAGGAGCCTGGTTGGAAGGGTTGGTCTTGGTGGAATGGGACAAGAAAGATCCTCTAGAACTGTTGGTTAGCAGAATCTGTTTCATTGGAAGGAAAGCCTGATGACAGGACCCAAGTCTTTTAGGAAGGAAGGAAGGAAAGAGCCAAGAGTGGTATATGCCTGTAATCCTAGCACTTGGGTGGCTGAAACAGAAGGATTAAGAAATAGATACTAGCTTGGTCTACACAGCATGTCTCCATCTCAGAATAATCAAAGAAAGGTTAAGTAGAAGATGATAAGGTGGCGAAGGAGGAGGAGCAGAAGAAAGAGGAAGACAGGTAAGAGTCTAGAATAGAAAGCATGAGATCCATGGAAAGGTTGATCTTTTCCAGAGTGTTGTTCAAAGACATTTTACAATTTTCCAGGAGTCTTAGTCTTAGCCACATGGCTAATTTTCTCCCTTGCTAGATTACAAGCAGCTATCTTATGTTCGGCAAGAATGTTTAATTCCCACCAATCTGAAATTACCTCAAGACCACTAACTTGATATTTCTTAAGAAAATCTTCTTCTGAGAGCCAGAGGTCAGAATTGTTCTTATTATGAAAATCAGGAGAGCTTTTTCCTGGATCAGATAACTTAAGAAAATCATGAGAGGAATTGTGAACTTCAGTCCAGCTGCCTGCCTAGAACCAGGAGTCTCAGCTGGTCGAGTAGCTGCTCCCTTTTTTATGCTTTTTTACCTTCTATCTTTGAATGTAAAAATACCATGTGGTCATTAGGACCTGAACGTTTAGCCTACAAACTGAAATTTTTTCTGGCTGAGTTTTTAAAATACACCTTTTCAGCTAGGTATGGTGGCTCATGCCTACCTTGGCAGCTGAGATTAGAAAGATTTCAAGGTCTACTCAATCAAAAAGTGTTCAAGACCTCCATATCAATCAATCAGAAGTTGGTCTTGGGACTGGGAATATGGCTTATTGGTAGAGTGCCTGCCTAGCATGCATGAAGCCCTGGGTTCAATTCATCAGTACCACAGAAAGAGAAAAAGGTCAAAAGTGGACTGTGTCTCAAGTGGTAGAGTGCTAGCCTTGAGCACAACAAAGCTCAGGATCAAAGCCCTGGCCCTGAGTTCAAGCCCCAAGATTGGCAAAAAAAAAAAAAAAAAGGCTGGTCTTGGTGGTGCATGCCTGTGATTCCAACTACAAAGGAAGTGCAAATAGGAGGATCTGGTGCTGGCAAAAAGCATGGTTTTCAGGACTGAAGATATCACTCAAGGCATAAACCATTTACCTAGTAAGTGCCAGAACTCAAGTGCTGAATTCAAATCCAAGTATCTCAACAGGGGAGAGGAGAAAAACTTTTCACCACTTTTACCCTGCTTCTTTGCCACTAGAATCAGACACTTTGTCTTTGCTTTTATGAATACATTCTTCTTCCCCCAAATCATCTAATAACACTTCTGAAAAATGTGGATGTAGGATTAATTGGAAAATGTTGCAGGACATTTGGGGAGCCATCCTTTACCAGGAAGCACTTTTTGTCCAGACAAGTCCTTACATTGTGTACCTTGTAGATACAGACACAGACCACACAAACAGTACTGTACATGGTATTTTCTAAATTCAATTACATTTCTTAAAATAGTAGTTCCATAACACTAAGCTGTTTTACAATCTAGTAATGTTAAAAAGTATTGCATTGGAGCTTATTATCTCTAGAGTTAAAAGAGCCCCCACCCCGATCTGTACATATTTTAATTATATAGCATTTAATATTGCCAAGTATCATACTCATTAAAATATTATCTTTAGTTATACAAAGGAGTTTCAATTTAACATGTCAAGTTATGAATACAGTGCATCTTGATCAATGTCACCCCTTCAATCATTCTCCCCCAAGATGCTCAAGTTACTCCTTTTTAACCTGATTGATTCTCAAAAAGGCAAGATAAGTTATATTTTATTGTTCTATTCAATGATAGTCTTAATCCAGTAATAAAGGACTCACGGTTAAGATCTTAAAGCTAGCTAAAGCAGAAATTCAACCAGTTTCTCATGTTGACTGCAGAACTCCCTTTGTGGCCATGTTGAAAATGTGAAAAGGGATACTGTTTTGTTTTGTCTATGCTAAAATTTGAATTCTCCATCCTCCATTTTATTTAGGTATCCTCAAGACTTACGGAAATGGGAAAGTTGTGTCATTTGAGTCCTTTACATAATTTGTTTACTTCCACAGAATAGCTTTCAGCAGACATTGTTAGAAGCCCTCAGGGCCAAGGGAGTCCTATGGACATGAGCCAGGTTTGGCTGCTGCTGGTATCACTGGGCATCTGGGATTTAATCTCTGCAAGCACACTCCTCCCTTTCTTTCCCATTGGGGTAGATTTTATCAGCTGTGGAATACAGAATTTACCATGTTGCTATTGTGCTTCCTGATTCTCTCATTATTCACCAGTTTCTCTCCCAGAGAGCAGCACTGCAGTGTGGGAGCTGGAGAGCAAGAGCAAGAGGTGCTCTTGAGTGACCTGACCCAACTATCAAGTTTCTGCTTATTCCTATAATGGCTTTTGCATGGCTTGGAAAGGAAAGAAACCATTGATTTGGAAACTTTTTAAACAATGAATTTAAATTTGCTATCTCAGATAAACTGTTACAGTTCATCTTTATTAAAACCTACTAGGTTCATTTACTTATATTTGCAGAATTTCTAAAAAGGTAACAGTTCAAAAATAATTTTCACTCATTTAAGAAGAGTTAACTTCAGCCAGGCACTGCTGAAGTGGCTCATGCCTGTAATCCTGTCTATTCGGGAGGCTGAGATCTGAAAATTGCGGTCCAAAACCAGCCTGGGCAGGAAAAGCCATGAAACTTTTTTTTTTTTTTTTGTCAGTCCGTGGAGCTTGAACTCTGGGCTTGGGCGCTGTCCCTGCACTCTTCAGCTCAAGGCGAGTGCTCTACTGCTTGAGCCACTGCGCCACTTCTGGTTTTCTAGTGGTTTAGTGGAGATAAGAGTCTCATGGACTTTCCTGCCCAGGCTGGCTTTGAACCACGATCCTCAGATCTCAGCATCCTGAGTAGCTAGGGTTACAGGCGTGAGCCACTGGCACCTGGCTTGCCATGACAAAAAGTGTTAACTTTATAGGAGAGATTTTAAGAAACCTCTCTGAATAGTAGAAAATTCAATATTTCTATTTTTGTTGTTGTTGTTAATCCATAGAAACAAAGACCTACCAGTCGCTGAAGAAATCTACCCTCCTGGATAATACAAATCAAATTGAAGAGAAATTTCAAAAGGACTATGCTTCAGCACCACAATTTTCAAGTAAGTAAGAGCAGATTCATTACTTGACCCCAGTATCTGGGGACAAGCAGGCATTTGGAAGAGCCCTTCCTTCTGGGTATTTGGGGCCCAGCATGGCATAGCCCCAAGAGACCCCTAGATTTTGCTTGCCATATCACAAGACTTGTCATTAACCACTACAAGAGATGCCCCAGATTTCTTGTCTAACCTACATTAAGTAGGCAGAGCTGTGTCCAAACTGACCTCCTTCAACTAGAATGTTGGGAGAGTTGCGGTTCTTACAATGAAAAAATTGTAAGTCCCAGGAAAACTAAATTATAAACTTTAAATGTAGTTTCTTTAAGGTTTTTGTTTTATTTATAATTTTGTTTTCTTACTTGTTTTCTTTGTTGTACATTTATTATTTTCATTGGCTTTCCTTTTATTACATATTCTTTTAGTATATTGATTAATGCTACACAAATAGATGATTAATATAGAAGAAAATACACATCACTGCATTTATTTTTTATATAACCATAATACTATAATATTTCTTCTCAGAGTTAGACAATGATTTCTTAATATCATATAATTTCTGGATTATATTTAGATTTTCTAATAGTCTCAAATACATTATTTCTCAAAGAAGTTTTTCAAGGGACATAGGTATGGTGCATCAGAGCTACCTGATTTTGGAGAACAAATTCCTAGATAAATTTCTATAGAGCTGGTATAGTCTTTTGCTATGAAATTCACTTATTTGAGTTGTTTTGAGGATGAAGTGAGCTATTGCAGTCCTAGAACAGGGCCTGGGGTGAAACGCTCTCAGGGAGGGCCCATCTTGTGGTGGTTATCATACAAATATAGTCATCATAGTTTGGTGAGGTATGAGCAGGGCCTCTGTCCTAAAGGCAGTCATCACTTTGGAAAGTTGTAATATTAGCTGAGTCTTAAGCATCCTCTCCCATAAGTCTTTCCCCATCATCAGTGAATAAGAACCCAACGGATGCGGTTTTTTTTTTCCTCCTATCATTAATGTATGACTATATAGTTTTTTCATTTGTTTAAAAGGGAGAGCCAGAGCATCCCCTTCTGACCATAATGAGTGTTGGGGAAATAAATGGCAAAGACAAGGTATAGCACAGAGGAAGGCTTCACTTGGATGACAACCAATCCCTCACAAGAAGTATACTTGGAAACTATCTAGCATCTTTAGAAAGAACAAGACAATTAACCACTCACAGGTCAGGGAAGGCAGTAGTTCCAGGTACCTCATTTTGCCAGTATTCTCAGACTCCTTGCACCAAAAGAGGCCATCCAAAGAGACACGCTCTATTGCAGACTTTAGAGTAAGCTGCTACCTTCTCCCCAGGTGGCCTTGTTCACCAGGAGGGTCAGGGAAAGGAGTATTCACCACTTTCCTTTCACAGATAATCAAAGGCCCAAACAAAAGTCAACCTTGAAAACTAAGCTTTTTTTTTTTTTTTTCCAAATGAGGCATTAAAAAAAAAAAGCCATTTTGAACATACAAACTTCAAATAGCATAGATAGAAAAGTCAAATGCTATTAATAAGATACTACTATGACATCTTGGCTACCTTTTTAACAAATTCTATAAAGTGATCCACTTACTAATCTAAAAGTAAATTTGAGTTCCTCTGAGGATTTTACATACTCCTTCAAATAGTATTGTGTTATTCAAAAGTGTAGTTATTGGGCTGGGAAGGTGGCTCAGTGGTAGAGCGCTTGCCTTGCATGCATGAGGCCCTGGGTTCGATTCCTCAGCACCACATAAGCAAAAAGAAAAAAGCCGGAAGTGGTGCTGTGGCTCAAGTGGTAGAGTGCTAGCCTTAAATTGAAGAGCTGAGGGACAGCACCCAGGCCCAGAGTTCAGGCCCCCCAACCAGACACCCCCCCCAAAAAAAAAGTGTAGTTATTTAAAAGACTCTCTATAGCAAGAATCTGTCTGAGGACATGCTTTCTTTTCTGCAGGATAGTGTTAAGGAGGTAGCATCTCAGCAACACCTCTAAGAAAGAGGGTATTCTGTAATTATTTAAATTTTACTTCATTCTAAAAAGAAGCTACCTAAATGCTAATAAGGTCTTCGAGGGACTTAGCTTCTGAAGCATGACATGTCACTGCTGAATTCTTGGTTCCATCTCTCATCCTTTCAGTGGATGAAGAAATGTGCTTATTTTTCATAGAGGCAGAAGATATCAACCCAGGCCAGAGAATTTATCTGTTTGGAATATTGAACTATATAGAACTGTTTAAAAATTAATTTTTGGCTGGGTGTAGTGGCACATACCCATAATCCCAGTAATTGAAAAGCTACAGCAGAGAGATCACAAGTTCAGAGCCTTACCTGAGCTGAGATCACAACTGGATCACAAGTTCAAGGCTATTATTAGGAGATTCTGTCTCAAGGTGGGAAAAAGGTAGTTTCTGAAGTCTCAGACACAGAGATATTTGTCTTGATTCACCATTATTGTTTATGCAGTCATGACATTAAAAGAAAAGCTCTTTTAATTAAAAAATTATGTGTTGAGCCAGGCACTGGTGTCTCATACTTGTAGTCCTAGCCATTCAGGAGGCTGGGGTCTGAGGATTGCAGTTCAAAGCCAACTGGGCAGGAAAGTCCATGAGACTTATCTCCAGTTAACCACGGAAATGCCAGAAATGGAGCTGTGGCTCAAGTGATAGTGCCATCATCCTTGAACACAAAAGCTAAAGGACAGCACCCATACCTTGAGTTCAAGCCCCAGCACTGGCACCAAAAATTAAGGATTTAATATCAACTAATACAATTTCTGTTTCTCTAATTTACAGAGACTCAGTTTAGATTTTCCAACTTTACAATGGTACAAAAATGATACCATTTACTATTCACAGTAGTGAATATTATTTAACCATGAAAATATTATTTAGCCATGAAAAATATTATTTAGCCATGAAAAGATGATATTCTATTATTTGTATCAATGGAACTAGAAGACATAATATTACATGAAATAAACAGACTCAGAAAGATACATTCCTCTTGTTCTTACTCATGTCTGGATGTTAAAAAATAGTTGATCAAAACATACAAAAGTGACTTCTAGAGGCTAGGAATCAGGGATAAATGGGAAATTAGGTAATGAGAAGTTAGTTAATAGGTGTGATAGGAGTAATAAGTTTAACTCTTCTACAGAACAGTAGAGAAACTATAGCTCACCAGGATCTTATACATTTTATTAAATAGAAGAGAGATACTCAAAAGCTTCACAGGAAATGTTAATTACATTAATTTCATCATTATATATATCTAGAAATATTGCATTGTATCCTCTAATATATAGAATTAATTATATTACAAGTTTCAGTGTTTAACAAGATAGATCTGTTAACTACCTGGTTTTGACATTACATACTGTATATATATATCAACTTACAGCAGTATACACCTTAAATTTGTAGAGTGAAAATAAGTTTTAAAAGTATTCAATAAAACCCATACTTGGAATTTTGATCATTTCCTAGACTAGCAATTTGAGGGAGATATTTTCTCCATGCTGGGCAGTGGCAGTGAGCTGCAGACCCCAGTCAGCCATGCCATCATGAGAGTAGACTCCAGTAATGGACAGTGCAGTCTGTTGGTTGCAATGTTGTTCAGTACGTCAGGCACTTTTGACTGATGATATTTTTTAACTTATGATGAGTCTACTGAACATTGTAAGTTGAGAAAGATTTATACTTCCTTTATTTAAGTTATTGTGGGACATAAATTATGCAAAAAAACCTTTAAATAAATTATCTCATTCTTTTCTCTAGTTTTTATTGTGTTAAACTTTTCTGTGTGTGGTATTGGGGTTTGAACTCAGGGTCTTTTGCGTGCCAGCTAGTGATCTGGCCAGTTGAGCTATGCCTCCAGCCTGCTTTTTTCTGCTTATTTTGGAGATGGAATCTACTGACCTTTTCTGCCTGGGCTGCCTTGGAACTGAGATTCACTACGGTCCTCCATATCTCAGCCTCCAAAACAGCTAGGATTACAAGTGTGAGCCACTAGCCTTGGACTTGTATTAAACTTTTAAATCATTTATTTTAAATTTTGTTTTTTCCAGGAGTATATTTCAAAGCTATAAATTTATATCTAGTTATTGATTTATCTGTATCCCACAAGTTTTGTTTTTACAATTCTTTCAAATTGTACATACCTAAATATACTATAATTTTTGTTATGAATTTTCCTTCAATTTGCAGTATCCTTATAAGCATGTTGACTTCTAATTTATTAGAATTTTGCATAGACAACATAATTTGAGTGCTGTAAATTTAAAAAATATATTACTATTAAGCATATTAATAATTTATTTTCATTTATTCATAAGTGAAATGATACTTTACAGTTTGTGTAGTCAAGCACCCCTAGACTCAATTCCCTCATTCCATACTGAAATGAAACTGTGTTTTGAAAGATTCCAAATTTTCTAGTTTTATAATCACACAAAATACTTCTGATGGTTTCTATTGGACTGTACATTATCTTCCCACCTCTGCTCTCTGATCCTGGAGACGACTTCCTTAAACTCCAAAAAGAACTAGGAAGCCAACTGGGAAGGTGAAGGGAAACTTCATAAGAGTCACAGGTAGTAGTGGAGCTATGTGCTCTCAACTTAAGATCTCTCCCCCCACTTCCTCCCCCTGACACAGACTTCACTATTAGAGAAGCAGTGTGCCTGTTTCGTGTATTTTCTGAGTAGATATTTTAGGTCTCTGCATTTAGACCTGTCCCGTATACCTCGAACCTTAGTTTTCATATTCCAGAGTTCTTGGCCTTTTAAACATGTTGCAGACATATTGTGGAGAATTGCTTTGCAGCAGAGGTGATGTGTAGGCAAACTGGATACAGGTTAGAAACTTTGCATAACTGCCATGTATTCTCTATCTGGCATCTAGGCTGACTGCCACTTATGAACACTCAAGGCTGAAACTAGTCAGAAAGCAAAGATCAGGGAATCTCCCATGAGGTAGAAACAGTGGAGTTACTCCATTCCCCCAAGCTTGACGGAAAGAGATATTGTAACTCCTCTTCCTTGCCCTTTTCAGGCTGAGATGGTAGTCTTGCTGGTTTTCAGTGGAGATTCATTCTCCTCTGTGGGGTAGAAAATAGAGGACTTGGCAAAGGAGTGCAGGGGTGGTGGGGTGAGTCACTGTCATCCAGGAGTGTCAGTATTTCTGACACTTGGTTCCCAGGATCCATTATCTTGGTGAGCCATTGCTGCCCGTGGGTCATACAGTGCAAGTTGTCTTGTACCATGTGCCACATTAAAGATCCATGTGCATGTGTGTGCATCTTGGTCATTTAAAATAGAGTTTGTCGGGTGAGTTTATTTTCTACTTCATGTTGCTTCTGTTGAAGTATCACAAGGAAATCCCGCCATTTCCTGTTAGTATCCTGTCAGTATTTCATCCCTCGCCTCCAGCTCCCATGACTTCTGTGGCATCTTACTCTGTTGGCTTTTGTTTTACCAAAGTTCCTGAGAGGCCACTTTTTGTCTATTTGTTTCATTGCTGCCTGGCAGCTAAGACTCACTCTCCCTGTTTGTGCTTATCACAGGTTTGAACATTGGCAGCAGCACATTCAAGACAAAGACAACTCACAACATTGCTTCAGAAGCTAGTTTTTCATCTAGTGAAGGAAGTCCTTTGTCAAGGTAAAGTCCTGAAAGCCTTTCTGAATAGCAGCAGCAAGATGAGAAATGTCAGTCCACAATGAATTAAACTCTGGCGCTGCATTATTTTGTTGTGTTACTTGATGAAGGGTTATGATTTGGGTTTTTGTTTATCTAAAAAGCAGTTGAAACTTTAGTCTACCTTTGAAAATATTTGCACCAGAGCCAAGTATTGTATTGCAGCTGTTGTTTCCTTGGTTTAAGACTCAATTGACACCTCAGTGAACCACAAATTAGCGTCTACAGCTGCTCGCAGTAGGGCTGCTTAGAGACACACAATGGAGGTTGTCAGTAAAAGGGCAGAGAGAAAACATCAGGCCTTGCCTTAAAAGAAATAAAGTGCTATATTTCTTTCTGAGATGTCTGATAGATAAACTAGTAATTGTGGATATAGTATTTGTATTCTTGTTTTTTCTAAGTATTTAGGCTAGCTTTCTCTTTTCTGATACTTTCTTGTTTTATTTCCTGAAAGAACAATTTTTTCTTTTCACATTTGTTAAACCATAGCACTTGCAGGTTTTTTAAGCATTGATAACTGATTTGGGTGCTGAATTTGTTAACAACATACAATACTAATCATACAGTGGCTTCAAGCTACCAAGAAAGAATTTAAGAGATGAAATGGAAACAATCATCTGATGAAATACCTACCATTTTACTTTGGGCTAACTACCATTTAAAACAGCACAGTAAGTTCTCTTGGTGATAGTGTTGCTCATTAAAATGATATCCATTAGATGATTGTATTACACCTAAATTTACTACTTGACCTTGATCAAATTTTAAAACAGGACGTTTACATTTCTAATGATACATTGTAATGTTCTGTAACATTAAATGATCTCATTCAGAAATATTACAATGAAATGAAAATGGGAGGAGGGACACTTTCATTTATGTTTTATAAAAGTATCACAATTTTTTTAGGACCTAGAACATTTAAATGAGATTCATTTTACAAAATTCTTACTTTCAGAAATGATGAGTATCCAAAATCAATATTTAATTATCAGAAATAATTATATTTAATATCTGGCTTTCCATCCATATTGTTGGAGAAATTGGGTGATAACTGGATTCAGAAGTGTTTTAAGTATCACATCGTCATGATAATATGATAAATTCAAGTTTTTGGTCTTCTAAAAGAATTTTAATTTAAAGGCCAGTCATTTCTACAGATAGTTTTCAGGGTATAATGTTATCGTTCAGCTTAAAAAAGGATTTCTAAAGGGATTTATTATTTAATAGTTATCTCATTATTAGAGATATTAACAAAACAAGTTCATCTTTCTCAGGGAGCTTCTTTTTAAAAACAACTTTTATATATACACTCTTTGAATGTTTAGATATATTGAGAAAAGAGATTGGATTTTGTAGAGCATTTTCTCAGTTTGGTAATTTCATATCTTGTTCATATTTGACTAAACTGACATTGAACTTTTTCTCCAAATTAAGACAGAGGCCTTTTGCCTTTTGTTACTATAGTTGTTCCTACATGAAATTAATTTCCTAATAAATCATAAGTAATCTCATCACCCACTTTAAGAAAACAAAAAGCAAAAGCACAAAAGGTCTTCCAGAAACCCTTGATAATAATCCAGCAGTGAAAGGTCTGGCATCAAGTGCATGGTTGGTGTGCTGTTGGCCACAGCTTGCTTCTTGTACTGGGTTTGGTATTGTTAATACCCTGGTTTTGCTGTTTGTGGCTGGCTTTGCTGAAATTTCTTAGAGGCTTACATTTAAGGATCCCACTTACTGCAGTCACTCCTTGTGCTTTATTGCTTTTACAAGTGGTCTCGAAACCCAGTACTTGAGAATAAACATAACAGTGCAGCGCTGCTGTAGCACTTTTAAAAATTCTTCTTTGCTCTATTTTGTCAGTGAGCTGATGAGCAACCTCAAAAAAAAAAAAAGACCCCACTGGACTAAAAAAAAAAAAATGGCTTTCTCTGATGTCCTAGAGACAATAATTATGATGTTCTAGTTAAACCCAAACTACAGCTGAGGGATTTTACTTTAAAGCAGCGGCTTGGGCGCAAAAATGCATTTATAGCTCTTTGTCTGCACCTCATTATGTGTGGGCCTGATTCATTAAGTAATTGGTTTGCAGTTGTTTACATGAGTATTAAGGCCTTCTTTTCAGTCGCCTTTGAGAGATACATTGTGCAAATGTTGCCTGTGATGAATGCAGAATGAGGGCCAGAGGGTCCGTCCTATTGGCTAAACAGTGCACTCTGTTGAAAAGCCAGAGAAAGGGATTGGGTGCTGCTTTGCATAGCAATGACTTTCTTAATAAGCGTTACAGATTAATACACACAAGCTATAAAAGATGCAAAGAGATACTCTTAGCACATTTATACATGCTCATTTTATTATGGTGGTGGTAGTGGGGTCCAGGGGCTTTCATATTCCAGTTTTTCCGAGCAGCAGCTTCCGTGTATGAGCCGTAATAGAATCCGATGTTTATTGTATTACAAATCACGGGCAAGTAGGCAGATCGGCAACAGTTTATTATTAAAGATTCTTTCAGTGTAAATCTTTCTCTACCATTGTATTTGCTTCAGCAAAATCATTTTGTGGTTGAGTGGGGATGAAAGGCATAATGCATGAAGGAGTGAGTTCTAATAGGAAGCTGTTCGCTGAGTAAAGACCACTTGTTCCCTTTTGTTCAGGGGTGCATGCCAGAGCTTCCTCTTCTCTGCAAACATTGTCTTGCTTTACCTTCCTCAGGAAGCAGTTTTAACTCTCCTGGATCCATTTATTCAATGGAGACTATATTTTAACAGCCTGCCTTGTAACTTTAGCTTACTGGTTCCTGCCTTGTAACTTCAGCATTGGGTTGAGATAATGGTTATGCCAAAGAAAAGAATGGGTGCTTGCCTGATGGAAAAGAAGCAGTAGTTACTCAGCCACCACACCCTGGCAAGGCCTCGTGGGTGGCATTCAATGCCAGCCCTGCAACCATGGGAGCCACCAGCCGAGGGCGCCAGCCTGCAATTGATGTTCTGACGGGGGTTGTAATAGCCTCTCTTGCCTATCTTGTGCTGTTTTCCCTAGGATAATATGAAGATCAGGAGAACCCTATTGTCCACTGAAATAAAAATATTTTTCCTGGAAGTTCAATAGATTTTCTTAGAAAAGCGTACATCCCTCTCTTTAGCTTAGCAAATTTTCATTTGCCGTAAGTTCTCCAGAGATTGCAATCTTCTAAATATTTCACATTGTGTGTGTGTGTGTGTGTGTGTGTGTGTGTGTGTGTGTGTGTTTCCTTCATAGAGCACTTTTGCATAAGAACAATCAATTACTTAAAGAGGAGAAGTTAACAAGTTGACCTAGGCAGCTAAAAATGGCATCTGCTGTAGGACCCAAAATTAACCATCAGGGGGCGCTCAGACTTTATCAAATTAAAACAGCCTCAAACTTTGGTGGGCCTTTAAAACTTAGACACTATTTTACAGAGATTTGTTAGCATGATCATATTTTTCTTTCTGGATTGTTTTTTACCTTATATTTTTCAGGAAAATATGTACTTTAAGATCTCAGTTGAAAATGCTGCGTTGGATACTTTAATGCCAAATTCAGAAAGCAATCAAAATCATTAAAATATTTAGAATTTGCAGTCTAAAGATCACAGCTGAAATGTGTTGCTAGTCTCCTCTTCCATATACCTTTAAATCACCAGGCCACATGTCAAGTGGCATTTATTTTTGTTATTTATTTGCTTTTGACAATTCTGAGGTTTGGACTCAGGGCTAGGAACTATCACTTAAGCTATGCCTTCCACCCTTTTTTGTTTCAGTTATTGTTCAGAAAAGATCTTGCTTTTTTTACCCTGGTCTAGTCTTAGACTGCCATCCTCCTACTTAGCCTCTAGTGCAGGTGTGACTGCAGGCACAAACCCTCAAATCTAGCTTATTGTTTAGATGAGCTCTCTAGCTTCTTGCCCTAGCTGGCCTCCAACCATAATCTTCTCAACATTTGTCTCCTGAATAGCTGGAATTGGACACATGCACTACCAAACATGGCCTTATTCCTGTACATTTACTGGAATGATCTACTCTACTCTTTCATTCAACCTTCTAAACATTTCTTGAGCAGGGGATATAGCCTTGTTGGATACCCCTCTAGTGGCCTCATGGCTGTTCATATTACCATCTATCAAGGGTAAAGAAGCCTTTTACAGTTGTCTTCTCCTTCCAGCCCTTGTGTGAGCTCCTCTTTGGAGTGGCAATTGCAAAACAGTTGAACTTTCTGAGAGAATAAGCATCAATACCATTCACTCAAGCATTTTTACTTATAAAAATCATTTGTGTAAAGGCCTTAGTTCTGTTTGATATCACTTACCTGAGCTGTAAGGAGTAATGAATACTATACAGTTGTATGCATGAGCGAAGTTGCAGGGGGTGTGCACATGTGTGCACATTTTCAAAGGGAAATCTCATGGTCAACTTGGATTAGTCCTCTCTACCCAGGCATTCTGCATTTGCAATGTCAGGAAGCAGATACTTTCAGGGAGCCTTCTTGGAATCCTTTCTTGACTCTGGTCCTGTCTACTGATCGATGAGTTATTTGATTCGTGATCCTGACCTTGATGAGGATGTGTACTCTTGGTACCTGTCAGGGGCCTGGAATGTCACCCCCTACTTCTGCCATCAGTTCTCAGCAAACCTCACAGTTGCCCTTTTTTACCTATATCACATCTATCGTTTGGGTGTGTGTGTCCTCTCTGGTGAGTGAGCATGTTGAGGATAGAGATTGATTCTTGTTCACTGCTGCCATCCGAAGCCCAGGGCCTGAATCCTTTTGTTGTAATTTGTATTCCTTAAGAATGACTACGTGAATGAATGAACTCAGTATAGGCACTGGATGAAGGCCTGGCTGAGGCAATTTTCCTTCTCTGGAGGCCTGACACATTTTGAGTGCTTCTACCTGTCAGCCCTAAAAGGAACAAATGTGTATACATTAAACCTGTCTCCTTTCGGTCTATCCCAAACTTTATTTTTCCTTGGCCCCTTGCTCGAGGATTCTTCCCCAGACCAAGCAGAGCTCTCGTTCATCTCAGGGTGCTGGCAGTGCAGCACCTCTGCATACTGAAGTCTGCCTGACACAGGCTCTCAACTTACAGAGCTCTGGAAGAAGGGCATTGCTAACCCCATTTTACAGACAAGAATATGGATGTTCAAGGAGGTAGGGACCTTATCCAGAGCCCAGAGTAAGCAGAATTCAAGCTAAGCCTTCTGTCCCAGAACCAATATATCCTAACTCACATAGTCAGCCATTCACTGGAGCAGGGACCCAGAAACCCAAAGGTTCCTCTTGATGTTTTACTGCTTCTCATATGGTGCCTAGAGGCAGATGTTTGCAACTGGAATATTTGAGTCAGTGTTGCCAGAGAATGTTTTGTTCTCTTCTACTACTGGCTGGCTTAGTGTGGCTTGAGACAGGTAACTCAGCCTACCCATACAGTGAAGCTCTATGAATATCCTCTTCTAATTCTATAGGGGACTTTGTAGCCTTTCTCACTTTTTTCCTATTTACTGGCTTTACAAAGCAAAACTTAACAACTTGGAGTAACCCTTACCGTCTAGTTTTGTGTTTGACTGTGTAGAGTATGTCCAGTATGAATTCTTGAATTCACACTGAATTTTTTAGAGATGGGTTTACAGAGAGTAAAAGAATTGTTCCTTGGGTATAAGGGTGGAGTAGAAATCACTTGAGAGCATCTTTCCCCTTTCTGAGTGGTGAGCTATGGTGCGTATAGCTCTGACACATGTTTCTTGTTAGGAAAAACTACCAAAAAGACAATTCACATTTCATGATATGTTGACTGACTCCCTGTATCTTAAATGTATTATACAATGTATTGTGTGATTACAAGATGAACAGAAAAAAAATAATTGCAAGGGCCTTGGGGAGACATAGCCTATCTACAATGCCCTGTGCATAGCCAGAGGGACCCTGGCAGGCCCAGTGGTTCACCTCCAGTGGAACCCAACCTGACTGCTGGCTCATTTGCTTCTGATAAGTTGGAAGATTACAAACTATCACTTGCATAGATGGTTTTCACAATCACATGTGCAGCATTAGGCGAGTTTTGTTTTCTTCTTTTCTAGAGCTGCTATCTCTTTTCAGATGGTTATAGAGATCTTCTACTCTTCACAGAGAAATGGTCTCAGGCACAACTTGATTACTACCAGTACCAGGCACTAAGTTGCAAGAGGGATCCTGGGCCTAGAAAATGGTACCTCAGTGGAAGTTTGTTTTACTCCCTCCCCGAAAAAAAGTAAATTATGACACTTTGAGAGAAGCAGCAGTTAACTAGCTGCGGGTTAACCAGACTCAGCCTACTAGAAAGGGAAAGATGATTGTGCAGGGTTTCCTGCTTCAAGAGAAACAAGGTATGAGCCTGGTATGGCACAAGTAATCCTAATGTCTCCTTTGAACCCCTCTCATCCTTCAATATGAGCCTTGGAGGGTTTAAGAATTATAAAACATGTCAATGATGTTCCCAGAGAGGGTTTTTAATTCACTAAAATCATAGAAACTCTTGAAAAGGCAACTGAGAAATCCCACTCCACAGAGCCAGATTTCTTGTCCTGTTGTCTCTAGCAGAGGATCAGTAGGCATTAGGTACAGAGACACTAGGGTGTGTATGTTTGATTCATAGAAAGCTAAATGTATATATCCATGACATTTGTCATTTTCTAGCACATTTGTTGTGACCTCCTTGGTTAAACTGCTTGTATTGCTGCCTCAACTGAATAAGTATTTTAACTTACAGCATCTCCTTGCATTTTAACATCTTGAATTCATTGCTTCAGTATTTCACTTTCACTTGCCTAAGAGCACTAAAGCTTTATACACAGCATTTTCCAGAGGACTACTGAATGGAAGTTGTCCTTTGCCTCCAGACCATGTGATCATCCTCTAGCCCGAGTCCACGGCACTCAGAGCATACATATCCAGGACAGAGAGGACCTGGAAGAGCCTGGCAAGGGTATACGCAGAGGACCCACGTGTTGCTGTTGCAGTAGCAGTGCTCCACAGAGGCCTCAGCAAATAACTCTTGTGTAACTCCTGTGTTTATTGTCTTGGTGCTTTCCGTATGTGGGAAGGATAGTTTCTGACCTGCTAAGGAATAACAGTGCTTCTTCCTGACAGTTCTTGGTAATACAACTCTTAGTCTGATTGTCACCTTTCTTTAAAAATTTTACAGGCATGAAAATGAAAAGAAGCTAATGACCAATTTAAAGTCAAATGGTAAGAGAAATAATCAGACACAAATTTTTATTTTACATTTTAGCCAAAAGTGTTGTTTATGACAGCTATTAGTGTCCTCTGTCCTGTTGTGAAGACTGTGAAGTATCTGCTTCACTAGGTCAATGTAAGGAGAGCGCTCCACAGTTCCTCCGAGAGTCCTTAGCAGAATTGATATCAGGTGTCCACTGCCAGCACACACCTGTGAACACACCTTTTCTAGGTTTGCTCCTTGTCATAGGTCACCCTCCCATGGTTGCTAAGAGCACCTTCCAAAGAAATGATAGTGTATCCAGGTCCTACCTTAAGCCAGTCATCACTGCCATTCTTTTCTGCTCTGCTCTTGCAAAGAACAGAAGCCTGCCGGAACAGCCGAGGTAACCCTGTTTCTGTGTTAACTCTGATTGTAAATCTCCCTCCTGTAATGAGGAGTGGGACACAACAGAAGGGAAATGTAGTATTCTGCATGGAGTTTTCTGTGACAATGCAGAGGACACATAGCGAAGGGTGTAAATTTGTGCAGTACTGTCATGTATTCCTGCTATGCCAAGTATGGAACGTCACCTGGTATTCCTGTTAGGTCTTTTGCAGGATGGTGTCTCAACTAGTCCTACTGTGCTGTTGTGAAAACTTTATAATCAGTGTGGAAATGTTAAGTAGCTTTTTTTTTTTTCTCTTCTAGCCTTCTGGGGGGAATCTGATGACAGCAACTCAGAAATTGAAGCTGCATTACGTCCTAAAAACCACAATACATCCATCGATGACTTTGATGACTTTTATGACACATGAGCTATAACATCTGCTGAAAATAAAGTCTTCAAACAAACCAAAACCCAAGTTTTTGTATTTGACGTCCAACATAAATACATCCTTTAAAATTTTATTCACTATTTAAGGGAAAAACTTGTGATGTGGCTCAACTGGTAAAGTACCAGTATTGAGTGAAAAAGCTAAGGAGAGTGCCCAGGCCCTAAGTTCAAGCCCCAGTATCAACACAAAAAAGAACAAACTATTGATACACTACACATACAACATTAGTAAATCTTGAAGACATAAAGCTGAATGGTTCATTTGTGTGAATTGTTTTGGGTAAGCTGAGCTTCGTAGTATGTGCCTGTAATTCCAACACTTGGGAAGCTCAGCTGGAGAATGGTAAATTTAAGCCAGCCTGAGCTACATAGCAATATACCACCTATGAGAGAAGGGATAAGGAGGGGGAAGACAGGGAGAGGGGAGAGAGAGAGAGAGAGAGAGAGACAATAAATGGATAGAAAGACTCAAGAAATTGATATAAAGATGAGAGAGAAAGAGATGCCAGGTTAGGAAAATCCATAGAAAAAGATCAGTAGTTATTATTAGGCAGAGTTGAGAAATAGACTAGCAGCAATTGACTTATACATTTAAACAGACAAGTTGTATGGTATATGAGTTATAAATGATTCAAGAGTTAATTATCAGTAACTCTTGGTATGGTCCTTCCTATATTAAGGGTCACAAGTCAATTTCAGAAGTTATCTATGAGTCAGGCTCTAGTGTAATCCTAGTAATCCTAGTCACTCCAGGCTGAAACCTGGAGGACAGCAGTTCAAAGCCAGTCCAGGCAGGAAAGTCTGCAAGACTCCTTGTCTAATTAACCAGAAAAATCTGGCTAGGTGTGGTTCAAGTGGTAGAGTTCTAGCCGTGAACAAGAAAGCTGAGTGAGAGTATGAGGCGAAGTTCAAACCCTAATACAGAAACACACTCTTTCCCCAAAAGGCTGTGTATTCAGCACAGCTAGGGAGGGAGGCTGGGAACGTAGTTGCTTATATGACTACTCTGGCTTCCTCTAATTTCTCTGCTTCTCTGAAATTGTAATGATTTTTAAATAGCTTTATACAAGTTGGGTGCCAAAGGCTCATAGTTGTAAACCTAGCTTCTCAGGAGGCTGAGAGCTGGAGGACCACAGTTTGAGGCAACCTTGGCAGAAAAATTTGATTCCCTCTCCAAAATAACCAAGGAGAAAACAGTTTGAAGGCATGACTGAGGTAGTAGAGTACAAGCCTACTTTGCATGAATCCCTGAGTTCAACCCCAGTACCCTCCCTGCACATACAAAGAATTAGACTTACCCCTTTTGGTTTTCTCTTGCTTTTCACACATCCTGGCTCAAAAACTTGGAGACTTAGAGTTGCATTGGATTCCCTCCTTTACTCTTAATCTCGTGTGTGTGTGTGTGTGTGTGTGTGTGTGTGTGTGTGTGTGTGCGCGCGCGCGCGCGCGCGCACATGCTAGTACTGGGGCTTGAACTCAGAACCTAGGCTCTGTCCCTTTGCTTTTTTGCTTAAAGCTGGCATTCTACCACTTGAGACTATGGCTCCACTTCCAGATTTTTGGTGGTTAATTGGAGACCAGTGTCTCATAGAACTTTCCTGCCCAGGGTGGCTTTGAACCACAAATCTCAGATCTCAGCCTCTTAAGCAGCTAGGATTACAGGCATGAGCCACTGGTTGCCCATATTCCTTTATTTTTTAAACAAAAGGTAGTTTTGTTTTATAGTTTTACTCACTAGTAATAAGAACAATGATCCTCCCAATCTCAGCCTCCCAAGTTAGCCAGCTTCAGATACAATTTTATCAAATACTCAGGCTTTTCTGACTCCTCCATATTTGGGAATTCTTGGGCTAGTCATTGGGGGGGGAAAATCTAACACAGTGACCTCAGCATCCTCATCTCCAACAAGAGACAAAGCTAGAAATGGTGTGTTCTATGTATCACACTATGGCATGAGTATGTCCTCAAGTGCAAGGGAGTGAATGAAAAATTGTGTTTGAAAAGTTTCACTAGGCGAGTTTATACAAGAGAGGAGTGGAGGCTGGGGAGTGTGAAGGTCTCTAGGCAGAGAAATGGCATTTGCAAAGATTAGAGGCACAAAAAATGTATAAATTAAACAAATATGCAGTCCCTAACTTATCATGATTTGACTTAAGGTTTTTCAACCCTTTTCCAGGCCAGTGACTTGTCATAAAGAATCCCCTCTCCATGCGTGGGAGCAGTAGACATGAGAGCCCCAGCAGCACTCTACAGTGTACTGTGTAGCTAAGTCATCATGTTAAGAAGACTGGAGGAGTTAAATGCATTTCAACTTAGGTAACTACAGACTGTCAAGGAAGGAAAGTGTTCTTTATTTACAGAAAATATGGTCGTTAAGAACATTAGGAGACTCTAGTGCCAGTAAGTGTTCAATCAACAAAGTTGGTAGATATAAAGGCACCTTCCAAAATGTTGATTTTGGAAAACAGTGTACAACAAGATTAATGACAATTTAAGGGCAAAGACCATATGACAAAATACCCTGAAAAGGCTACTGAAAGACATTTATACATAGAAAACCACATGTTCATGGATAGTCCTATAGTTTGAACATCGGTAGTGCCCCTTGGGCCTCAAGGAAGTACTGTGGAACTCTTAAGAGATGGGACAAAGTGAGAGGTCTTAAGACATGAAGGCATGTCCTTGAAGGGGATTGTGGGGCCCTACACACATATCATGTCTTTTTCTCTCTGCTTCATGTCTTAAGCTGTGAGTGCTGGCTTCAACATGTACTCCACTAAGAGGCCCAAACCAACAGAGCCACCTGATCCTGGCCTTCTGAGTCAAATGATCTTTAATTCCTAAGTAGCCTCTATCACGTATTTTGTTGCAGTGACACAAAGCTGACACCCTGTGAATCTTCTTCCTATAATCCTTTCCAATTAATCAAGAGTCAATGCTATTTAAACCAAAATCCCAACATGCCTACCAGGAATCTGATCATAAAATTTAAAAGGCTAATATGATCAATTTTCAACAGTGAGGAGGAAAGATCTTGCTGTAGCAGAAATCAAAACTTATTATAAAGAATAGGGTTAAAATAAATTGTTGGCATGTTTGAAAACAATCCCTGTTGAAATTATATTAGGAAGAGAGGTAAGGGAGAATGATGGAGGTAGAGAAATTGATTGGAATACAGCATATACATATATGAGAATGTCATAATGAAATGTCCTATTGTATAATGATGATGTATGCTAACAAAATAAAATTTTAGGCAGGTGCTGGTGGCTCACGCCTGTAATCCTAGCTATTCAGGAGGCTGAGATCTGAGGATCGCAGTTCAAAGCCAGCCTGGGCAGGAAAATCCATGAGACTCTTATTTCCAATAAAGCACTAGAAAACCAGAAGTGGCGATGTGGCTCAAGCAGTAGAGCGCTCGCCTTGAGCTGAAGAGCGCAACGACAGCACCCAAGCCCAGAGTTCAAGCCCCGTGACCAACAAAATAACTAAAAAATAAAATTTTAAATATATTTTTAAGAAATATAAATAACAAGCCAGGCACTGGTGGCTCATGCATGTAATCCTAGCTACTCAGGAAGCTGAGATCTGAGGATCATGGTTCAAAGCCAACCCCAGGCAGGAAAGTCTGTGAGACGCTTATCTCCATTTAGCCACCAGAAAACCAGAAATGGTGCTGTGGCTCAAGTGGTAGAGCCACAGGCTTGTGGCTTTCAGGCATGTGGATATAATACAGAAATGAGTATTTTGGCCAGTTTATGAACTATATAACAAAGCACAATTTTTATTTTTTTCCAAGCACAAAAGAAATCACAGCTGGAATCAAGAAATAAATGTAAGGGCTGGGAAGGTGGCTCAGTGGTAGAGTGCTTGCCTGGCATGCATGAGACTCTGGTTTGATTCCTCAGCACACATAAAAAGAAAAAGGCAGAAGTGGTGCAGTGGCTCAAGTGGTAGGGTGCTAACCTTAAGCTGAAGAGCTGAGGGACAGCGCTCAGGCCCAGAGTTCAGGCCCCACAAAAAGAAGAGAAAAGAAAGAAATGTAAGAAAATTTTAAAACATTTGAAGAGAAAAGGCAAGTATCTTATGATTTTGGAGCAAGGAAGAATGTCTTAACCAAAACAGGAAAAGCACAAACTCAGAAATAAATATCACTACATTAAAATACAAAACTTGAGTGACAAAATTATCAAAAATATGAAAAGAAATCATGTAGAAGGTGACATTTGGAAAATATATGTATATCAAAGATCTGTGTCTAGATTAAAGAACTACCCATCAATCAGAAATACAGAACTCAATGGGAAAAACAAAGGGTCAGAATGAGTAGTTCATAGAAAAAGAAACAAATGATAAGTAGATACACAATTATGGTGTATATGCATAATCCCAGCACTTGGCAGGCAGAGGATCAAGAGTTTGAGGCCAACCTGAGCTCTTACCTTCACTCATTCAAGCCATTGAACAAGGGAGGGAATTTGGCTTCTTAATGAGTAGTGTTGCCTGTATATACATTATGAAAAAATTATTGATAGGGCCATCTTTGGAATCTCTGTACCACAAAGAATACTGGACAGCTTAAAAGTCTTGAGAAGTGTTCACTTGGGCAGCATATACTAAAAATAGAACAATACAGAGAAGATTAGCATGACTTCTATACAAGGATGACTTCAAATTCGTGAAGCATTCCATGTTTTTACACTGTATAAAAGGAAATATATTCCTTACCTGACTCATGTAATTGCAATCCCTCTGTACATCACCTCCATAATAACAATAAAGTATGTTAATAATACAAAAAAAATCATCAAGCCCAACCTCTCCCAGCTATGAGAATTCCTGGGAGCACCAAATTTGAGGGAACAGCAATGTCAGCCAAGTTCTATAAGCTCAACAGTACTTTATGGAATATGAAAAATATTAAGGATGAAAAAACAACCCTCTGAACTGAATTTAAAATAATAAAAGAAAATCAGCTTTGGAATTTTTTTTAAAAAAAGAGAAGACTGAACAAACTAACCATTCACCACAGAGGAAGCATTTGCCAAAGTAGGGAGTCATTCTACAGCTGCCAGCTCCATAAACATACCTTTACCACCATAAGGATGCCACAGTGATCAGAAAGCTGCCATAATCAGAAATCCATCCTAATAAAGTCCCCATTACAGCTACCAGCTCCTAAATCAAGCCCTTCTTTACCATCTGTCTCAGGAAAATAGATGTCTAGTGCTGTGTCTTAACATTCTGAGACCCCAAGTAATAACTCCACAAGCTTGCAACTTGAGCAGCAGTGGCAGCAGAAGAGCAGCACAGACCTGCCTTCTTTCTACCCCTCAAATATCTGATTGGTAGGATCTAGCTAAATTACAACAGAACCATAGCTGCAAGAGAGTCTAGACAGTATATCTTTTAGCATGCTCTATAGTATTAAGAAGACATATGAGAGGTGCTGGGAGGGATGGTGAGTATTGTTCTACTAGGTTCTCTGTAAACATCCACCAATACTAGTCCAGGAATAAAGTGAAAGATTGTTCTCAACTGAAAAAGCAAATCTAGAAGTGAAATCTATAAGTCACCAAAATTGACCTTGTTGAATCATGTCCCTAGGGATCCATCCCAGAAACTTCCCATACTTTGTCTAGGCAGAAATCCTTACAAGGAAAATCTTAGCATAGGTCTTACACAGATAAGCCCCAAATTGTATTTGCAACTACTGGGACTTGGCTATTCTTGAGTTTTTCATTTTGATGAATTGTTATTCTAATTTCATATTCTTTTAAAATGATCAACATTCTACTGTATTCTCCCTAACGTTTCCCATTACCATGTGGTTTGATATGCCCCGTGATTAGTTATGTTATTGATTGACGAGATTTGTTTAGGCCACAATTCTCTATTTATGACAGCTTGTGAGATTCTCCCTTCTTTCTCTCAACAAAGAAATGAGGAAAACAAACAACTACAAATCCTAACAGCTTTGGTCAAATTCTCAAGCTTCCGTCCACTTTCAATATCCCTGTCATTAATGGCTATGTCCTTGGCAGAATGCTTTGGTGACAATCAGATCAGGATGGATCAAAACTGGCAAAAACACATTAAAGATGATCACAATAATTCCAGCCCCAAATCCAAGCAGATAAGAATGATATTACTCAAGAACTTATTCTGAATGACAGAAACTGAACTTATCCAATGTAAAAGCTCATTAGCATTCAGCAGCTAAGATTTTAACTCTAACTGCTTTTGGTAGTGGGTGTAGATACTTATTTCAAAATCATCTGCAAATCTCTTGCTTCTTAAGGCAGCTCCCCTTAAGTCTTTTTGGATGACATGGGTCGTCATTTGTCTCCCTTCCCTGATGTTTTCCATTTCCCCAGGCTAGTCTAGTCACTGACACAAAGACTAATATTTGATGACAGATGGTTCTGTGAGCTTCTGGTAAGGCCATATCTCACTTTTGGAATGCAAGTGATAACTGAGTTTCTCTAGAGTCTTATTTATTATACTATTATTGTGCACAAACTCATTAGATGTAAAGCATTCTGCCAGTCAACTTGATCCTACTCTTCCCCAGCTGTCATGCTGGCAGCCCAAAGATGACGACAGATGATACTGATGGACAGTACCATTGCTATCTCCTGCCTTTCCAAATTTAAAGCCACTCAACTGAAAGAACTTACTGGAGAAAAGAGCTAGGGAGCCACTGCATAGTGTGCTGTGGCTTAATCACCACGGTGGTTCATTAAATGTCATTTGTGGGATCCTGCTGCCTAGGTCTGGCTAGCACTTGTAAGCACACCTATAGACACTGTATGAAATCAGTCTGCACCACTCTTTCCAGTCCCAAGAGAATGATGTCACTTCCACATACGTCTGTATTCTTGTTAAGAACCAATCTTCCTCCTTTTTCAGGTGTGTCCACATCCTGTCTCAATGCACAAAAAGTCCTTCATAAACATTTTTTGCAACAAAATAAGAAGTAGCTGCTTATTCAATTCTCATTCTACAGGAGCATTCTTTCTGGATGAATGCCAGATAAGCAGAAAGATGAATTAGACATTCTCTCTGTCCTCAAGAACTTTTCTGTCTCACAGAGAAAAAAATGGATCATCTTCATGTTAATTGTTTAGGGAAAGAATTCAGCTGCTAGAATAAGTAGGCCTCCAAGCACAGTGGCTTAGAGCGTATATAAATTTATTTCACAATCCTTAGTAGCCCCAGGTTTAGCAGATGACTCTGTTTTGTGCATTCAGAAGCCTAGGTTTTTTTCTATTTTGTTCCCTTACCATTCCTAGAGTACAAAGCTGGTCTGCACTGTCATGTTGGGTTATGGACACTAGTAAAGAGAGGAAGAGGAAAAGATATAGGAAAGAAATTTTCTTCTCACATTCCACTAGTGAATGCTTAAGTTATATGGCTACACTTAACTATAAAATAGGAGGGCTGGGAAGGTGGCTCAGTGGTAGAGCGCTTGCCTTGCATACATGAGGCCCTGGGTTCGATTCCTCAGCACCACATAAGCAAAAAAAAACAAAAAGGAAAAAGCCGGAAGTGGCGCTGTGGCTCAAGTGGTAGAGCACTAGCCTTGAGCTGAAGAGCTGAGGGACACGCCCACGCCCAGAGTTCAGGCCCCACGACCGGACCCCAAAAAAAACAAAAAAAAAAAAAAAAAGGAAATAATTCCCAGCTGGATAGTCATGCTCTTAGGAAGAAAAGAAAATATTTAGTTAGAAAACTGGTCATCGTTAGCCAGGTGCTGGTGGCTCACACCTTTAATCCTAGCTACTCAGGAGGCTGAGGTCTGAGGATCAAGGTTCAAAGTCAGCCCAAGCAAAAAAGTCTGTGTCACTCTTATCTCCAATAAACCATTTAGAAAACCAGAAATGGCTCTGTGGCTCAAGTGGTAGAGTGCTAGCCTTGAGCTGAAGAGCTGAGGGGCAGCACCCATGCCCAAAGTTCAAACCCCCTGACTGACAAAAAGGAAAGAAAAGAAAAAAGAAAACTGGTCATCTTTGCCATAAAGAGCTGTGGGCTAAATATTGGTAGAGGAACAACCCCAGAGAGGCTGAGATGTGCAGTGATTTAAGCAGTTCAGTTCAGGAGCCAGATATGCCTATATTTGAATCCTCATACTTGGCACATATTAGCCAATAGTGTGATTATTTGCCATTCTGAAGAAATACATTGAAGAGATTGGACAGACTGCTAATGTGTAGATCCAATTAGGCTGACAAAGTGATCCAAGGATCTATAAGAGTTTAACTAGTGGTGGGGAATGTGGCCAAAGGGAATGCTATTACACTGTTGGTGGGAATGTAAAGTTGTTACACCACTCTGGAAAGCAGTATGGAAATTCCTCAAAAGAGTAAACATAGAGCTTCCCTATGACCTAGAAATTCCATTCCTTGGTACTTATCCAAATGACCACAAACTAAGCTTCACTAAAGCCACCAGCACAACCATATTCATTATAACATTGTTTACCATAGCTAAGACATGGAATCAACCCAGATAGCCCTTATGGAAGAAAAGATCAAGAAAGTGTGGTATATATACACTATGGATTTCTATGCTTCCATCAGGAAGAGTGACATTGCTCCATTCATAAGGAAATAGACTTGGAAAAATTATAAAAAAAGTGAAGTAAGCCACCAGATCCAAAGAAACATAGGCTGCATGGCTTCCCTCATTTGCAATAACTAAAATGTGACTATAAATCTACAAGTAAATCCAATTGATAGTAAAAGACAAATAATTACACTTGGACACAATTAAACAGCACTCTAGATATTCACACAGTGAGACCAAAGGAGGATATGCTTAGGAGAGAATCACAATGGCTCAATAACTATGTGCATATGATCATATAAAATGATGCTCATCGAAATGAACTCCAAGAGATGGAAACATGGTTTTTTTAGTTGTATGGTTTGCATTTTTTTCTTTCAGTTTATTCCCTTTTGTCACTGTTGTTGATTTCTGTACCTTTTGTCTTACATATAAGTATATATGATTTGGGGAAGGGAAGGGAAAGCACAGAAAGGTCAAAGGGTGAACCAATTCAGCAGTGATACTCACTAGACACTATATTGGAAATGAACTATGCAACTTGCTCAAAAAGAACTGTGCTCATTACCTGAGTCATATAACTGTAGCCCCTCTCTTTGTACATCACCTTTACTATAAAATTTAAATTAAAAAATAGTTTAATGAGGAAAAGGCTAGGGGTTCAATCATCCTGAATGTCAAGGAAGTGCTAGACCAGTTTTCCTCTGAGCTATTAGAATTTTCTCATACCACAGGAGCTTATATTGGGCTCTCAAGACTCATATTCTGATCTTTGACAACAACAAACCTTCACAAATACCTCTTAGGAGGAGGTGGGAGAAGAGAAATTTATCAATGTACATCAGAAGAATCAGGGACAAGTATCATGGTGGTACAGACAACAAAACAGCCCAGACTATGATCCAATGCAAAACTTGCCCAACATGTCTGGAGGGTAAAAATCCAAATGTCTCAAATCATTATGTGTATGTACACATATATTGTATATATTATAGCATACACATATGCCACACATATACTTACCATAAATACTATGGTCAAATAGATCTGGGAAACATTTTGTATTATTAACCCCCAACACACGTGAGCTTAAATTCTTTGAGGTCCTGCAACAAGTTAAATGCTTATTT